AAGCATCGTAATACATATTAGAGATTCATTTCACCTATTTGTACGTGTATATATGTCTGTGTGAGTATTTGTACATATACCTGTGTGTCTATGTGTAAGTACCAGAAGAGGCATCAGATCCCACAGAGCTAGAGTTTAGGGAGCCTGTGGGATATCTGGCTTGCTATGTGGGTGCTGGGGTCTAAACTCTGATCTCATGATTATGCAGCAAGCACTCTTTTTTCTTTCTTTCTTTCTTTTTTTTTTAAATGAGACAGGGTTTCTCTGTATTGTTTTGGAGGTTGTCAGTCCAGCCTGGCCTCGAACTCACAGAGATCCGCCTGCCTCTGCCTCCTGAGTGCTGGGATTAAAGGCGTGGGCCACCAACGCCCGGATTCTATTTTCTTTTTATTTATTTTTGAGACAGGGTCTCACTCTGCAGCTCTGGTCATCCTGGAACTTTCTATGTAGACCAGGCTGGCCTTAAACTCACAGAGTTCTGCTTTGTCCCTGCCTCCCAGGTGCTAGGATCAGTGTGTGCCGTCACATCTGGCTTCAGCCAGCACTCTTTGCTGCTGAGCCGTCTCTCCAATGTCTGTCATAATATATCTTCAAAAGAAGCAAGGAACTTTGTGACTTATAAACAATTTTGTACTATAAATATAGTGGCATTGATCGGTTGCCCTATAATCATTGAACAAAAAAAGAAAAAAAAGGAAAGAACAAAGAAAAAGAAAAGGATGGCCTCAGGGGTCAAATCTCTAACTCAGTCATTGCATGAATAGCACAAGAACACCTAGGTGCACTAGAGAGAGCTCCCTGAAAGACACCCTTATCTCTGTAGGCACAGGGCTTAAACTGCTGAAAATCAAACGCAAAATGCCATCCTGAGTTACGGCACAAGCCACCTCCCAGCTTTGTAGACTGTCTCCTTCCAAATGAGGGCACTGAGTGAGGCCAACTGTCTACTTCCAGATGAGGGCACTGAGTGAGATAGAAGATCCGTCAAGTCGACGTGGCGACATGTGTGAAGACTCTAGTGAACCTGGAATAGTGAGCCCTTAAATTCTGATGCGTCTTCTTTGCTGGAGGAAGAGGTTTCTCCAAGCTCGAGACGATGGCCTCCCCACCTACGGTGGTATTAGCTTTTCCGTCTCATCCGAGGACGTTAGCCCTCGTGAAGAAGCTGTAACAGCATCTGCAGCTCTTGCCGTGGTGAGCGGTGCAAATTCTCCTTGGGCCCCCTTTCTGCTTTTGGCCTCCATGTCAAGCTCAAGCCCCAGCACATCCCTAAGGTGAGGTACAAAATCCAGACCCATTAGGGAACACGCTGTGCTCCAAAAGGACCACTTGAGCTTTATATAAACAAGTATTTTGGGAACATATACAGGAATGGATATTGAAGGTGTTGGATAATGGCTGAAGTAATATAAAATCAGACAAGTATGAATTTTTTCATACATTTAAACTTTTATTTTTATTTTATGTGCATTGGTATTTTGCCCACATGTGCATTGTTGTGAGGGTGTCAGGTCTTGGAGTGACAGATGGTTGTGAGCTGCCATGTGGGTGCTGGGAACTGAACCTGGGTCCTCTGGAAGAGCAATCAGTGCTCTTAAACCACTAAGCCATCTCTCCAGCCCCCAGTAAGAATTTTTGGTGGGAGTGTACTATGTAAAGATTTTTCATTTTAGTGCTGCAACTTGAAGAGTCAGAAAAGGGCTCTTCTTGGCTAGGTGGCTAAAATATGGTACAAAAAAATGGCTGACAACTAGCAAATTGAAACTCCCTGACCTCTCTTGGTTTAACATAGAAGAGGAGATTCCAAATCTTCAGGAAAATGGATTGCTACAGTAGCTTTGCATTTACAAGCTCCTTGCCCGTCTTTGCAGAAACCACGCAGCAGCCCCTGTGGTCACTCGGTCTCAGCTCTGGCCAAGCCCACTGTGTTCTTTAACATTGTAGTCAATGGTGAACCCTTTGGCTGCATCTCCTTTGAGCTGTTTGTAGACAAGATTCCAAAGTCAGCAGAGAACTTCTGAGCTTGGGGCTCCGGGAGGAAAGCATTTGAGTATAAGGGTCCCCGCTTTCATGGAATTAATTCCAAGATTCACGCGTCAGGGCGGCGACTTCACGTGCCACAACGGCCCGGGCGGCGAGTGAGGCAGAAATATGAGGCTGAGGACTTGGTCCTGAAGTGCACGGGTCCCCGCTCTCTTGCCCGTGGTAAATGCTGAAACAAACACAAATGATTCCCCGCTTTTCACCTGCGCCACAGAGACTGAGTGGTGGGATGCCAGCATGTGGCCTTTGGGAAGGTGAAAGACAGCCTGAACGTTGTGGAAGTCATGGAGTACTTTGGTCCAGGAATGGCAAGACCATCAGAAGAGCACCATGGCCGGCTTGGACAGCTCTGACGCTTTCCACTGGTTTGTGAGCATCTTAAACCACCAGCCCGCTCCCTCTGCAGCTCAGGAGGCCTCCCTCCTTGCGGCATTCAGAAATTATTGTGCTCTCACAGGAGTTCCCGGGGTTTGTATCTTCCCCTTTAAATCTAGATGGATTTCACAGTAAAGTTTAGGACCACAAACTAAAAACTAAATAAGAAACCAGGCAATGGCGGTGCACACCTTTAATCCCAGCACTCAGGAGGCAGAGGCAGACAGATCTCTGTGAGTTTGAGGCCAGCCTGGTCTACAGAGGGAGTTCCAGGACAGCCAGGGCTACACAGAGAAAAAAAAGTAACAAAACAAACACAAAAACCAACCAAAAACAATTAAATGAACTACTCAGTTGTATGTGAACCAATACAATGTGGAGTCAAGTATTTTTATTAACAGGAGAAAGCACTTACACACAAGCTGGGAGATCAGAAGCGTGGCAGGCTTCCGAGAGAGCGAGGTTTTCCTTTTCCTTTCCTTAAATATCCTGTGCCCATCTCTCTGTCCCCGCCCCTTTGGGCATGGACAGTATGGTGGGCTCACCCCTACACTCAGTCACACCGGGGGCATCTAGAAGTATACCCTTCATCAACGGTTTGGGAAAGAAGTTTGTGCAGGGGGCCCCCACCAGATCTTGTGGTGGAAACTGAAGTAAAAACCAAACAGTGATGAATGGTAGAGGCCAGGTGGCCATGCTAACTGATCAAGGCAGACTGAGGATAGTGATTGCAATGTATAGTAGAGTCAAAACAGCAATCGGAATGATCCAACTTTCATAGACCTTGGCAATGGCCATGTGGGGCTCCTAGAAACAAACCAGATAGGAATCCTCATAAATTCTTATTTGATCTGAATAAGCAGAGAAATTTGAAGTCATTTGGGAATGATGACACCCATAATCTCATATGTGGATGTATGAGTTCAAGGTCAACCTGGCTTCATAGACAGAACAACTCTCTCTCTCTCTCTCTCTCTCTCTCTCTCTCTCACAGACACACACACACACACACACACACACACACACACAAAACAGAGAAATATTCTAGGTCAAGAAAATAAAATTTCAGCTAGAATCATAAAAATAGAGCCACGAACTCTTAATTCCCAAACATGAGCCTCCTTACAGTTACAAAACACTCTGAATAAAGGGGAGGTCAAGTCCCTTGGAGGGAGGATGCCATCACACTGAAACACAGACGTGAGGGATATTTTCCCAGTCACTAGGGTAACTGCACTCAGCATATCTTCAAGGACTGCTAGACACTGGGACCCCAGAGTGGTTCCAGGCCACGCCAATGTCACTGTCCTCCAGTTACAACAGAGGCGTATTCAGGGCGGCAGGTGGTGGTTGGAATTTTGTCTCAAGTCTCTTCCACGGTGGGTCTAGTGGGTCCCCGAGTGCACTCTGCAGTTACTTCCCAGCTCCCAGAATGCTTAGTTAGAATGGGAAATAAATAAACACTGGCAGCTTCCCCACACTGGTTCCCCCAGCTGCAGAGCTAAGCGGAAGCCATCATTAGAATGACTTTCTTCTCGGGGAAACAGTAACCAGACACGGTGCTGCATCCCCCAGAGAGAGGGGAATAAAAACAAAACAAACAGCTCCAAAACTCAGGGCTTGGGAGGCAGAGGCGTCGAGTCCCCCCACACACTCCTGCAGGTCTCCTGCTGGGCCCTGGGGAAGGTGGGTGGGCTCGGAGAGTGTGCACACACGTTTGTGAGCTTAACCAAGTGGTGACTGTAGCTGCAAGGGCTATTCCAGGTGTGGCGGTTTCATTGCCTAGGCCAATTAGCACATCTGCAGATACGAGGTATGCAGTTACTGGTCTGAAAAAGACGCTTTTCCCTCTTCCTCTGTCACAAGAGCCACCAGAAGCCATCTGCTCTCTCTGACACGGACAGCAGCACACTCTGACTGCCCTGTCTCAGGAATGCAGTAATTTCTTCAGCCCCCTGGGGTAGCATAGGCCACGGGCATTTTGACAGGCTGTCTCTTAGTCAAGAACACACCGGCCCCTCCACTGATGACATTGGGTTAATTGGACCTTATAAGCAAGACATACTCAACTGCTTCAGAGTTATTGGTAAAAACATTTGTGCGTTGAAGTCTGGGAAAGAAATTTGGCTAAAAACTTAGTGGTCGCCGGGCGTTGGTGGCACACGCCTTTAATCCCAGCACTCCGGAGGCAGAGGCAGGTGGATCTCTGTGAGTTCGAGGCCAGGCTGGACCAACAGCCTCCAAAACAGAGAAACCCTGTCTCGTAAAACAAAAAAACAAAAACAAAAAAAAACAAAAAACAAACAAACTTAGTGGTCTTCTACCTCAGGAAACTTTTTAGGGGTTCAGTGGCGTGTTGAGCTGTCCTACTGTGCAGGTCAAATTGTTGCACCTGGCCTCTCCTGTGTCTAAGAAATGCCTCCTGCGTCTTTTGGCATTTTATAGGTAGCTGAGCCCTCATGGGGGTCCATTTACCAAGTGAGCCAAAAGCTACCGCTTTTGTGTGTCCCCCAAACAAGAGCAGACTCGACACCTCATCTAGGCTGCTGAGTAAAAGGCTCTGGCACGTGGGTTTTTATCAGATGCTGATCCGCCGGTGCCTGAAGAGTTGCGGGAGGATGAAGGATGGACTATCGTGAGAGCCTCTGGATTCTGAAGCAGGATCATGCCCATCATATGCATAGGAATAATTACCCAGGAAGAGACTGTGTGCTGACAGTGGGTCACCATTGCCAACAGCTTGAGCTGACCACTGTGAACCAGCTCTGTCTGACTCACCAAGGTAAAACTGGGCACACATCATCAAATGGAAACACACACACACACACACACACACACACAGTCATTTCAGAGGAACTGACAGAGAAGGAGAAGACTCGGGCCTTGTTTGTAGGTACACGATGTGTACCATCAGAAACCAGGCAGCTGCAGCTTCTTGCTGGGACTACAGAATGTTCAAGACCATGGTGTCAACAATGGCTTAGTTTCTAGTTAGTTCCTTCTGTATTAAAACATGAAGGGTACCGTGTGGTAAAATATTTCACCTCTCTAATTGGCGGTGTGAACCTGGCGGGGGGGGGAGCAGGGTCTAAAAATAAGGCTGGCTAAAGTCTCAGGCAATAGCCGACTTTATTCAGAATATCAGACGATGTATACTCCGAGGGTTAAGAAGTCACCTGAGTTAAGTGTGCAGTCACAAGGACAGGACGCATGTGACAGAAGCACGTCTCTCCGCAGAGGCGCATGGACAGCAGCAGCAGCTGAAGTAAACTCACTTCCGTCCCCTACACCTGGGAGAGACAGGAAAGCACATTCCAAGAGCAACGCATGCTATGAGGAAACAGAGGTCACGAGACTCTGGTCTGGTTTACTGGAGTTTGCTCACACTCAGAATTCCTCTTGCAGGACTCCATTCTTGGACTGTGTTAAGACAGCAAGACATCGTAAACAAGCCAGAGAGAGCCCACCGCAACAGAACTGCTGCCATAGCAACTCATTAACCTATGAACCCCCTCAACATTCATGACCCAGTCGATCTCAAGGGTTCTACTCCCCAACTCTCCTGCACATGAACTTTAGGGGCACAGGTTCAAATCACAGCACCTCCCATAACCCCTATTTACCCCCATTGGGTTCCTTTGGTACCCTGAGGGCAGAAGTTTTGAGAGGCGGTAAAAAGACAATGTGTGAACCTTAGGATGAAGAGTTATCTCACAGCAGTGACTGAGGCAGAGCAAACTGTCAGTGTTTGGGAGAAAGACCAGCCCATGAGAATGTATGGAAATGCACAAAAGGCAATCTTCTGAAGAGGGTGTGTGGAAACTTACCTACATATAAGATTTAATTGGGAGGTTAAGAGAAAATAAAGAAAACAAATGTAGGGATGTACACTGTTTTGAAACCTTGAAGCTCACTCCCAATGACAAACCTCCAATAAGGCCACACCTCCTAGTCCTTCTCAAACAGTTCCATTCCCTGGAGTCAAATACACGAGCCTACGGAGCTCCGTCCTCATTAAAACCTCCTCAACGTGTTTTGGTAGACATGATGCATTAATAAACTTGATAATCTAAATTAATTTATGTATATTAAAGAATCAGCCATTTTTGCCCTTCCTCTGCTCCTCTCCATCTTTCCTGCTCCCTTGATGACTTGCTAAGGGCTGGGGGTGAGGGAGCAGAGGGGTTTCCCTGCTGTGGCTCTCAGGGGTTGCCCTGGAGCAGCTCCTGTCTAGGCTGATGGGGATGGGTGCTGGGGAAAAAGAAAACTTACAGGAATGAGGGAATCTCTTTTCCTTCCCAGAGGGTCCCCCACAAAGTACTGAAAATCAGAGGCTCCTTGTCCTGGCCTCTAGAGCAGTGGTTCTCAGCCTGTGGATCCTGACCCCTCTGGGGGCTGAATGACCCTTTCATGGGGTCACATAAAACCATTGGAAAACACGGATGTTTATATTATGGTCCATAACAGTAACAAAATCACATTTAACGAAGTAGAAGCAAAAATGATTTTATGGGGGCTGGAGAGATGGCTCAGTGGTTAAGAGAACTGGCTGCTCTTCCAGAGGACCCGGGTCCAATTCCCAGCACCCACATGGCGGCTCACAACGCTTGTAACTCCCAAGATCTGACACCTTCACACAAACATGCATGCACATAAAATAAAAGTAAATTATATAATAATAATAATGATAATTTTATGGTCGGGGGTCACCACAGCCTGAAGAACTATATCAAAGGGTTGCAGCATGGGGAAGGCTGAGAACCACTGCTCTAGTGAGAGTGGAGGTGAAAGCTTAGCTTGGCAAGACCGAGAGGGCAGAGACGGTTCTCTGGTTCTCTGCGTCTTCCGCAAAGCTTGGCAGCCAGGGCCGTGTCCAGTCTTGCCTAAGGCCGACACAGAAGTATCAAAAAGAGGTCCAGCCCATCAGGAGATACTTCCTGCTGGGAGGATGTAGCCCCGGGGCAGATGTCAGTGCAGTCCCCACAGAAGAGGCCAGAGGGAGCTCGGTTGCATCCGCGGATGCCAGCAGGGATAGATCCTGACAAGAAAGACATGGCAGAGGGTGCCAGCACGGACAGATGACAAGCAAGGACTGGATGTCCAGATGTTCCTCAGTTTCCTTTCAACTCCTCAGGGCAAAGCAGGAGGAAGAGAAAACCCGGAGTGGATCGGGTTTACCGGGAGCTGGCTTGTTTCCGGGTCTGCCATTGAGTAGGGCGGGGCCTCCTGTAGAAAGAGAATGAGCATGGACCCTGTGGCATGGTCCTGATGTCTGGGGGCTGAGGTGGGAACACCGAGAGTAGTCATTTGGGGTTTTGTAATGAGTCCCGGGGCAGTTCTAGACTGCAGAGACAGACCCTGCTCAAACAACTACTGAGCCAAACAAACAAACAAAAAAATCAGCATGGACAACACAGACTGTCACGTTTTTTTGTATACCTGAGTTATGAGGTCAGGAATCCTATGACTATTGCTCAGTAGAGCAGAAATGCTTCCTGCTCTGGGGAAGGGCGGAGAGCTCACTGTCCTGAAAGGGTTCTGTTAGGAAAATGTTGGAAAGCCAGGCAGTGGCAACGCATGCCTTTAACCCAGCACTCCAGAGGCAGAGAGGCAGGTGGATCTCTATGAATTAAACGCCATCCTGGTCTACAGAGCAAGTTCTGGGACAGCCAAGACCACACAGAGAAACCCTGTCTCAAAAACAAAAACAAAAACAGACAAACAAAACAAAGAGAAAAATGTTGGAAACAAACCTAGCTATGGCGATGTACGCTTGTAAAGGTTGAGGCAGAGGCTAGCAGATTTGAGGCTGGCCCAGGCACATGGTGAGTTCAGAGCTAACCTGGGCTATGCATAGCAAGATATCGACTAGCAAACAATTTTCAGACGGAAAAATGGTGCCTGGGGGCATTTCTCTTTGCCACGTGGAAGGGAACCTGGGTGCCGCTTCTCCTGACTGACAGGAAAACGTGACAGAGTGCTCATGTCACTGAGTCTCCTGTTCTACAAAGCTTGTCTCTCTGGACTTGATATCACGCTGATCTCCAGGGGGAAGCAGGCCCCTTCCTGCTCCTAATGGCCAGTAAGCTCTTCTTGCCCCTCTCTGATCAGCAATCTGGATACGCAGCTCAGCAGCTCAACAGTCTACGGGTTTAGGAGGGAGGGTGGATGCCCAAAACCTTGTCCCCAGGCACGCAGTCATTAAACTCGGGTCCTCAACCCTGGTTTCTCATTAGGATTTTCTGGGGTGCTTTTTTAAAATATGGAGTCCAGAACCCTCCATTTGAGAGTCTAGTTTATCTGAATTGGTTTGCAACCATTAGCTTCTAGAGAAGACAAAGCTGACTCATGTCAACTGGGATCCCACTGCTGAGCACACGGTTAGATTCGAGAGACTGTCTACTTTTTCAGCTAGTGCAGGGCCGCCTAGAATGAAGGCTGAGCTTCCCAGGGTCCTTTGCAATGAGACTGGCCACTTAGGTGAGAATTTAGGATGTATTTAGTATAATAAGCAGCAGAGAGCAGAGCTTTCTCCCAGGACAACAGGTCTTTAGGTTGCAGTCCAAGGCCAGAACAGCTGCTCCAAGATATCATCAATTCCCAGGCTCCTCCAGCACTTCTGCCGTGCCGTTCTGGGCACAGTGGCTTCTCCCCTCGTACTACGTGACACGTGGAAGCCTCGGATCCAAGCATCAGATTCTCCATTAACACAGGAAGGAGAGCTGAGGAGCAGCTCCTGGTTTTTTGTCCCTTTCGAAAAGCGAAAGCTTCCACTGAATCTCCCTAGCAGACTTCCACACGTCTCACCGGAAGAACATCCGTCCACCTAGGGCCGCCCCAGCTGCAAGAGAGGCCGCAAATGAATGTCCAAACTTTTCTAGTTTCTGCACTGGATTGGGGTAAGATAAATAGGGATGGGAAAGATGTTTGGCCTGCCACCCAGCAATATCTATCTTGTTCGCCTGGTTACGTCTGATCAGCCACTGTTCCTGTACATTACATTTTGTGGAGTCACTTTTAAAAAAATAAGTTTTTATTTAAGTTAAAAACAATCTTATTTTACATACTAATCCCAGTTCCCTCTCCCTCCTGTCCTCCCATGCTCCTTACCAACCCCCTCATCCCACCCCTCAGGGAAGGTGAGGCCTCCCATGAGGGATCCTCAAAGTCTGTCTCATCATTTGGGGGAGGGCCTAGGTCCTCCTCCGTATATCTAGGCTGCAATAGTATCCCTCCACAGGGAATGGGTTCCACAAGTCCATTCATGCACTAGGGATAAACACTGGTTCCACTGCCAGAGGCCCCGTACACTGCCCAGTGCTCCTAGCTGATACCCACGTTCAGGGAGCCTGGTTACCCAGCTGTCAGACTGGGGTCCATGAGCTCCCCTTGCTCAGGTCAGCTGTGGGATTCCCCAGCCTGGTCTTGAACCCTTTGCTCATCACTCCTTGCGGAGGTCACTTTTTAATCTCCTTGACCAGGGCGGTCTCTATTTGCAACTTATGTCTTCTGAAGTCTGTGAGAGCGCACTCGGTTTTCCTACAGAGGACCCTGCAGGTAAACAGGATGCCGCCCGGCCGGCAGCTCACGAGAGGTGTGGCGCATCCACAGTAAGTAAATGAGGCGCTGGCAGAACACAGTACGGCGTGTCAACAGAATTCTGAATAAATTAGAAGCGTGCAGGACAGAGGTAGAATTCTTAGGGCGTGCTAACTGCAGAGAGCAGCGGGCTGCAGGGCACGCTGAGGACGCGCAGAATAAGCCGTACGATGTGACAAACAGGGAGGGCCGAGTGTGTCCCCACTGGGGCTGACAGTTGTGCCAATCCCTAAATCAGCCATCCCTCGGGGACAGCCAGCGTGAACGTGGTTCCCGTGTGGTCCTATGCGAGCTCCACCCAAGAGGCGCAGATGAAATTTGTACCCGCTTGGAAAGCTCCGGCTGCGGGCGAGCGTCACACGGAAAGACCTTAGGCGCGTCCGGTCTGCATGGTTTGGTCCTTGCAACCGTAATGTCAGCAGGGAAGGATACAGAGGGAAGGCCAGGGAGTGAGGAGGAGAATGGGGAGAGAGGCAGGGTATGTGTTGGCACCCTAGCTAACACACCCCATTTCTTTCCGTTATTCCTCGCTGAACGTTTCAGAACGATCCAGTCACCCATGTGTCTAAGCTGCTCTGCGTTTCCCTTTCAGGAGCACGCTTCTGTTTCTGGGGCACCGGTTCCTCTGTTTGTCTCCTTCAGCGTGCCGTCCCTATGCCTGCAGCAGAGAGATCTTCGCAGCTGTAGATCCTCTAAGTGTTACCCTGTTTCAGACCTTTTCCTCGTCTTACCGTGGGTATCCGGGAGCACCAACGCTCTGGGCTCTCGGAGAACCACACTTGGAGATGCAGATAAGCATGCAGAAGTGCACTGGGAGCACTCTCGGGGGGGGGACAGAAATGCACTGGGGAGCACTCTCAGGGGACACAGAAATGCACTGGGGAGCACTCTCAGAGGGACAGAAATGCACTGGGGAGCACTCTCAGGGGGGACAGAAATGCACTGGGGAGCACTCTCAGAGGGACAGAAATGCACTGGGAGCACTCTCGGGGGGGACAGAAATGCACTGGGGAGCACTCTCAGGGGGACACAGAAATGCACTGGGGAGCACTCTCAGGGGGACAGAAATGCACTGGGGAGCACTCTCAGGGGGACAGAAATGCACTGGGGAGCACTCTCAGGGGGACACAGAAATGCACTGGGGAGCACTCTCAGGGGGACACAGAAATGCACTTGGGGTTTACCCTCTGAAGCCTTTATGCTCCCCAGCCCTCCGATGTGGGCCAGCTGTTGATTGTAAGTTGTCCCTCGGTGTGACATTGTTGTCCCTCTCTGCAGCTGAGCACAATCCCTAGATAGCAGCCACTCTAATCTGTGTCCCTCTGCCCTGATCCGAGTGGCACCGTGAAGTCCTTCAAGGCTTTCCCTGGCCTCTTGCCATTTTCCCCGTGTTACTTCTTGCTTTTCTTTTGTCAAGGGTCAGTTGCCACTGTCCACACATCTCAGCCACCTCCTCCTCCCCGACTGGTGCACGCGTTTCCCCTTCTCCAACAGCGCCTCTGCCCGTTG